GAGCGCCGGGCGGAAGGAATTTACTGAAGTGTGCGATCGAGTAAAACGACGGCTGTTTGTAGTACTCCCGGGCCGTAGCGTTCACTATAATCGGCGCGTCCACGAAGTTATTCACCCAATTGGGTCCACCCCTAGTGTCCAGAGCCAGGTTCCAGTCAACCCAACCCCCGGTCCAGTGATTCAAATCCTGGTAAACATAAATTTGTTTGTATTGTTGTTTATCATAGGTATGTTAACTTGTTGAATATAACTTGTTTAGTTACCGTAATTATGTCAGTAGCGTACTTCTCAAATAATTGCCAACTGCCCAAATAAACATGGTGATCCATACCAAACCACATTTCACACGCCTCAGTGCTCAAAATAAACTTGCTCGGATCCTGATTGTGCACAGTATCCAAATTGCCCACATTGCTTTCACTGTTCATATACCAGTGAAAAGCCATTCCGGACACGTATTGAGCCGCCTCTATGTCCCCGTATATGACTTCAGCCCATTGGCTAACGTATGGCCTGTTATCGTCGCAAACCATAACTCGGGTAACGTTAGGCCCATAACCGGCGGCAGACATAATGGGACCCAAATCTAGTTTCAGGAAATCCCGTTGCAGTTCGGGAGTGAATGTCATACTATTGAACGGATGTTTTTTGCCTAGAAGTTTGTCAAGATATATAGGCATCTCGGGTTCGTTTTCTATAGTTATGCCCCATAAGGGTATTCCCTCTGCTTTATAGGCGTCCAGAAATCTGTAATTTTATTAGAATATTAAACCATTTTTAATGTATCAAAAATTGGTATTATTTTAACATTACATACTTGACTAAATAATTAGCAAATGCTTTGTAATATTTGCCTCCAGGTTGATCTATTAGAAAACCACCATGGTTTAATTCTGAATTGTTTTTCATCCAGGCCGGTGCGGACCATGGACTAGCAATAAGTCGTAAATCGTGCTTGCTCACTTCTTTAGCCTCTTTAATTAAAGGTATCTCAATTTATACAGAAATTAATTACTAGAAGCTCTCAAAATTATATAAATGATAAAGAAATACAAACCTTAAGATCAAAATCCTCTTCCGTTAGATTAAAGTGTTTTAATTGGAAATCATTTTTATAGTTATCGTCATAACTATAGGCATGTGTGGAGAAGTCTGAGCCCCCGATCGGTATCCGACCCAATGTGTACTCAATACCCGTTTCCCCGAAATAGTCCTCAATTAACCGCTTTTGCAGTATTTGTGGCAAACTTTTAATGTTAATACCGGCGGCGTCTGTGAAGGCGCCCCCAAACCCGATGATCGCCTGATATA